GATTCTGTGATTCTGTGAACTAAGGTCTGAGAAAGGATCTGGGTAAGAACTAGGAGCTGCACAGCTTACATAAGATTGGGAAGAAGATCGTGACTGGGGGATAGAATGAAGATTATGAGATTTCATTCGTGAACAAAGATAATCAAAAGAAATTAGTATAAAAGCTGGGAAACTTCAGGACAAGAAAACAAAGTATTCTACGAAGCCAGATTCTGGCTTTTGCTATAGTACTCTTACTTTTTCAAAATCAAGAAGAAAATTTTACACTGAGTAATTTATTTGAAGTAGCTTACCTGACCGCAATCATAGAATCCATCAGTAATGATGTTACTTGATGATAAATACCCCATCTGGCTGTACTTTTGGGAAAGATTGTTATCAAGTAGCTTTTCCAGAGCAGCTTCACTAAAGGTATTTTTACGCCCTGTTGACAGATTAATTTCTTCTAGGACGTTTGAAGCACTGTTAAACACAATGCAAAGACTAGTTTATCATTAAATACCAATTAATTGCTATTATACAATTCAGAGTTAGTCTTCAGCATTGCCAAGGCCAAGACACATTTGTCTCCAAGTGCTGCCCTCTGGGCCAGCAAGGAGCTGGCTGTGCTACACAGAATTCTTTCTCTAGGGGAGGAAAAAGACTTGCAGTACTTAAAAGCAAAAAGCAATTCCTTTAGGCAATTAAACAGTTACATAAAGAAATGCTGACAGGATGCCACAATCTTTTATCAGAAGAATGGTTACATACCACAGAGAACTTGAGAAAAAGCAGGATGTAAAAGCAGAGTAAAAGGAATAATGGTCAGAGCCGATCATACGATACTGTTCAGGGAATATTTTTCTCTCTCTTTCCAACTCGCAATGCAATTTGCAGATTCCATTATCCAATCTGTGAATCCTCCTGGTTTAGGACTATTACTGTGTTTGGAGAGGGACAGTTGGCAGAGATTTGCAAAACACAGAGGAGCATGGAAACACAAGCAGTTGTGTCAGCATCACCAGGTCCAGGATTTTTGCAGCACAGAAGTACAAACAAATAATCATGTGGGGACACGGAAGGACACAAATTCATTCCTTAAGCTGGTTTTGGTGCTGAAAGCCACATAGTGACAACTTCTAACCTAAGAAACTTAGAAAAAGGTCACTAAGAAGAAAAAGGAAGCTGAATCAGAAGAACGTAACATTGTGCAGTTTTGGAAATGTTTAGGAATGAAAACAAGAAAAAATACCAAGATATATTCATGTGTGTGTGTGTGCGCATATGTGTATATTCAACTATATATGTGTGTCTGTACGCACATGCAGACATTCTCCGCATCCTAAGGAATCCATTTTATGTATATATAATGAACTCCATGTTTAGACTGCCCAATTGTCTCTGTGAACTACACAGGGAGCCTCAGCTGTGGACATTTACAATGTGGACTTCTGAAGGTCCATCAGATGAATTCCAGAGACCAAGTTTTCCACGCAAGGCAAATGGCAGCATTTTCTTTTAGAAGAGAGCAATGGGAGAAAACAGTGGAACAGCAGTACAGGCTGCAACAGTCAGGTAATCAGCAAGTAATGCAGGGAGGAATTATAAAGGGGAAAATCAGTAAGAAAAGCGTAATGAATACAGCAGTATTGAAGGCAGATTTTAGAGGCACAATGACACATTATCCTTATGTGGAGGAATAAACAAGCCAAAAAGGGACAAATATGGCTGTGCCAAAAATCCTGTGAAGGCCCAAACGCCAAAAAAGGACTCATACAGAAATGGAAACACTGACACTTCCAACAGGGAAAAAAAAGTAAGGGGAAAAAAGAGTCACAGGCAAAGTGAGAAACAACTATTCAGGGACTGAAACAAAAATAAATGTTTCATATGCTGCAAGTCAGAAAGGAAAATGTAGGCCTATTACTCAGTGTGGGACAAAAGCTCTTAACAGATGGCACAAAAAAGACTGAAGTGTCTGATGCCTTTTTTGCTTCAGTTTTCATAAAAAGGTTGCAAGCAGATGCCTGGCAGTAATATTAACAAGGAGGTGGAAACAGTAGGTTTAACATGTTTAGAATAAGCTTGAAGAGACAAAGTTATCAGTGTCTGAGAAGAGTTACCTCATACTACTCTACAGATTGGCAAAAGCAGCCTCTGAACTATTTACAATAATATTTGAAAATTCAGGGAAGGACAGGCTAGGTGCCAGGAGAGTGGAGTAGGGCAAAGATGGTATCTAGAAAGAGGAAGAACAAGGAAATAATAGAGATCATTCAGCCAAATTTCAGTGTCCAAAGGACACCGTACCATATTATTAAGCAATCAGTTTTCAAGCAACAAGAGATAAGATAGTAGGAAATAGCTATTATGTATTTGTCAGGAATAAATCATGTAAAGCAAATCTAACCCTTTCTGTGATAGGGTAACTAACTTAATGTATAGGCAGAAGAAGAAGGTGTGAGATACAAGTTAACTTTGAGATATGGTTTAACTTTAGTAAATATTTTCACATATTCCTACTTGAATGAGCAAGTCAGGGAAATATTATCTACATGAAAATAACACAAAGTAGTGCCTGACCAGTTGAAAATACTATGTTTAATGTAGTATGATCAGTAATATGCTGTTGAACTGGAAGGACACATAAATTAGCATCCTACTCTGATACTGTCACAAAGAAGTGATTAAATAAGAACAGTGTTATATGCAGGATACAGAAAATAATTACTGAGCTTTATTTGGTGGTGGCATGACCTCAGTTGAAGTACCTCATCCAGGCTGGGAAATGGCATTTCAAAATGGTATAAATAAGTGAGAGAAATTCAGAGATGTGTGACAAAATTAGAGCAGATTTCAAAGCAAAGAAGTTTAACGTTTTACTTTGTAATGAAAAGGAAACTGAGAGGGGGACATGTAACATGAGAAAATTCAATAAGTTAAACTCAAATTGCTATAAAAAGGTGGTCATTCAATCCCACTGAAAGTAGGACAATATGTAGTTGAATTGATTTGCTGTAAGGGATATTTAGAACTCATAAACCCCTTCTAATTGTAAGGAACCTTCAGCAATTACCTTGGAAAGTTGTGAAACCCTCTCAGAATTAGTATTTATACTTAACAAGGAAAACTATGTCAGTGTACCTGGTTCAGTCCCACAGTAGCAGATGGATAACAACACCTTTGAAGTCCCCTCCAGAACTAAATTTCTGAGATTCTCACTCTGCAGAATCCTCTCATAGATGGATTTTAAGTATCTGAGCAGTAATCAAAGAGTTGTCCAGCAGAGGGAGCAGGGCAATTATAGATTCTTTTAACAATAAGGAAAAGAGTCACTTCGCATAAGGAGCCCTGTGTCATAATTCTTAAATCCTAAACCAGCTTCTACAATTCAGATATTAATATATGGGACTTGGAGCTGATAAGAAGGAATAAAATAGAGTCTCTTTTACGTGGCTCTTCAGCACACATGCAGTTAACCAGAGTCTGCAGACCAAATTTAGCTTGTGTGTAACAAATACAATTTACTGTATATTGAACTTAGCCTGAAACCTTAATTTCAGTTTCATATGTATGAAGCACTGCAGTCCCTAATTTTGATTGATATAAGCACATCTTCAATATAAAGTCAAATTCAGTCACAGAAACAATAAACATTTTTAGAATTCCAGACAGCTCTCTCTTCAAGCTTACATTTTTTAAGACTTCTGTTACTTAAAATCAATACCATTTCATCTGTAACACCTGTGATGCAAAAGTAGTTTCTGCTTACCAGAAAGTATAAAGTATAGCTTAACTTTGTTATTCTGCTGTAGATACAAAAAGATCAACTTAATGGAGTTCTCTCATCAAAATCTTCCCTCTGCCCCTTGATACATTTCTACTCACCCTAGCCTGCATAGTTCAGCAGCGGTTGGTTCATCACTAGCACAGACCATAATGGCCCAACAGACATTTCTTCTGACCTCTTCATTCTTAGAATGCAGCAATTCAATGAGTGGTCCCAGTCCACCTGCATTTCTTAACTATTAAAATAATGAAGACATTGCCACATATTTAATCTGTCCCAGCAAGAACAGTCTATGAAATTCACCTTCTGAAACCTTGTAGACAAGCTATGCTGGGCTGGTAGAAACACCGTTTATGGGAGTCACTGCTTCTGTGAACCCAGAATAAGCTGGAGCTGAAGTGAGCTTCAGAGCAACTCAAGGCACACATTCCTTCTGGCTCACTTTGCAGTTATTAGATTGCAGTGTGGAAACTGAAGAGACTATGAAACCCAACACTGCCACGGAGAGTTACACAGCTTTTTCTGTGTTCTGTTGCTTCCTAGCAACTAATTTACAGCACAATGTAGTTGAATTTGTATTGTACTGTATGTATGACAATCTTATTAACATTGTATTCTCTTGTATGCTACAGTATCTTTCCTATACATGTTGGGGGAAATACTGTTCATTTGGATTTTTGGAGAGAAAGACATTTGAAAGACACTGAAAGAAGTAGATTAATTATCTATACCCCTTATTCATGTCCTAATTAACAGCCTTGACTTATGAGAAATCCCCAGTTTATGATCTATGAATGCACATAGCATCAACCTTATGTGTAAGAATAATATAACTGATAAACACTAAAAAGTTCAACTTGCTGGATATCACTGATCAAGAGGTTAATTATATTATGAGTTTTATCTGAATTACATTTACTCCATGCACATCCAGTTTCTTAGAAATCAAGATCAGACATTGCTGTTCAGGTCTTGAGAGTGGGCAATAGAACAACACTGAGGGAGAGTAAAGATTACAGAACTTCTCATCTTCAAAATACAGCCGACAGTTGAAGCTGAGTGAAACCTTAATGTTTAATGCTCATAAACAAGAAGATTAAGATATAGCCCTGATTAAAGCTCATTGAAGCCACCAGAAAGCTGTACAACTTTAATTTGATGTGAGCAGATGCACCAGTAAAAATACAATTTAAAAAATACTCTTTCCAAGTTCTCATGACAAACAGAGCTAAATTCAGCTGAACTAGCCTATGATAAAAATGAAAAATTTATTACTATGTAGAAATCCCAGGACTTTTAGGACACACATACAAAATACAAAGCTCCTAGGTAAGTATAACACCAACCTCAGGATCTAGAAATGTTACAGATAACCACAATCCCAAAGAAGAGTTTTACCTCAGTTCTCGCATCAGCATCACAACCAAACACAGCCACAGCAAATGCTGCTTTGCTTTGCACTTGGCTGTTGGTTGACTGCAACAGTGCTGGAAGTGCATTCATAATCCCACAACTCTGGATGTTTATGCGGAATGGATTTTGCATGGCCAGATTTGTTAGCACCGTGGCACCATTAACAATGGCTCCATCCCTCTGCATGTTCAAGGTATTTAGTAATGGCTCAATTCCTTCAGCCTCAGCAACAGCACTAGCAAAATGAAGGAGAAAAAAAGAAATCCTGTTTATTTTAGGACCATTTTTACTTCAGATGACATCAGTTGCTCTTCCCCTATCCACCAACACTGTAACCCCATCATAGAAGGCCACCAAGTTTGTCAGGCACAATTTGCCAGTAGTGAAGCCATGCTGGCTGTTACCAATCACCTCCTTATTTTCCATGTGCCTTGGCATAGTTTCCAGGAGGATCTACTACATGATTTTGCTGGGCACAGAGGTGAGACTGACCGGCCTGTCAGAGACTTACATGCAATATGTTGCAAGACTGATGTTTATATTTTAAATTATGGTATGAAACTAAAATTAAAAATTGAACTGTGACACCCTTCTTTATGATGCCTTAACTATATTTGACTCTCAGTGCAAAGCCCAAGAAGTACAACCTAAGTATACAAACCAAGTCACAAATGTCTGGATTCTTTAACTTATTAGGACATGGATTCTTCCTGAGGTTTTGAACAAGTGAATGAAAACTTACATTTTTTAAAAGATGCAAAATTTCTGTATTTTTAGTTCCAGGCAAAAGCCTCTGCAGACTTTTATTGTCTTTCCCCATAATCATTCTAGCACTATCCTCTAATGAGGATTATAGTGTATGGAATACCCTGTTGTGGTTCTTTGTGCTGTCTCTATAAATTTCTGTGATTGGATACTTAGGTGGCATAAACATAGTACAGCAAGCTTCTGTCATTCTTGCAGAGTAGATGTACATGATGCAGTTCAGTGCAATGTAGAAATTATTGTGCTGGCTTTATATAAACTGATTTAGACCACAAGAGTACAACAGACACATCAGCATAAAGTTCAGGGCTCGCTAGGACTGTGGTTCCACATGAACTAGTCTATAAACAGCAGATCCAGTTTAAATAGTCCCTCTACTCCCAGATAATCATTGCAGCCATGGCCAAAGGGTGCTGCATCTCAGCAGTGCTGGACCAAATGCTGAGGTGGCTAAGTTCTGAGACAGACCTGTGAAACAACCTGTTTGCAAAAAATATTGGGGAAGATTGTGGGGATTTTTTAAAGGATCGTTTAATAGATATAGGTTAGGGAATAGCCAAAAAATGAGTTGAAGAAATACTACTAAGGAAATAGTAACCTCAGGCAGGAGACAGCAGGAGGTACAGGGAGCTGCACTATTAGAGGACACATTTGCAAATGACTTAAATCTGATGTACTGCAAAACTAATAGACATGTGGGCCTACATCTCAGTCACAGCAGAAGGAACTGGCCTATGAGCACTTTATCTTAACACTGCTATTCTGCTTCCAGCACTCACTGGGACAGTGCCTTTTGAAAGGCAAAAAAAAATCAACTTCATATTTAATATCTTTGATAATGAATATATATAAAAGTAGCTGGTGACATGGCTTATAATGATAGTCAACTCTTGACTACAACTGATGCAGAGCCTGGAGAGAACCTGCCCTGACAGAGGGGAAACTACCACACTCTAACAAATCTGAAAAGCCACTTCATTATCTATTCTTTGGTTTCTTTGCCATAGGCAAAAGAGATTACTAATACAAATGTAGTTTACATCCTTTGAATGCCATAAGATACTCCATAACTTAAAGTTTTTCTTGATCTTCTTACCAAACTTTTGCTTTCTACTAAACAACAGGAACTTATTTCTTTGTCTATATCATCTTATGTTTCTTTCAGTGTTATTCTTTCCAATGTCATTATAAACCAGCACACAATAAAAATTTAATTGTCTTCCTTCTGAGCTTGCATATAAAATTTGATCAAATTATTTGAGGCATATGTCCAATTTACTATCTGCTTTTAGTAATTTTACAATGGGCTCATCTGTTTGTTAAACAAAAGATGGCAATACTGTTAGCAATGGAAATGCACTGATGGCAATTTGGATTTTCATTGCAACTGCTTTTTAGACCCCCTTTTAGTACATTTTGTCTATATCAAAAACATAACAAACTCTTCCACCTCTATACAAGCATATCTAAGCACTTCAGCAACAGAAGACTGTACATTATTTTCAATGTCTGTCAAAAAATTAATAAGAGAAATCTGGAAGTGAAAAATTTTACTTATACTGTAACAGTGTCTTACCAAAAATCTAACTAACCTTTTGGTAACTTTCACAGTTACAAAACAAGCACAAGCTTAGTAGTATTACATATGCAAGAAACAGTTATGCTATCAAAGACTGCCAAGGTATTGATAAAAACAAAAAACCTCACGAATGCTGATGATCACACTCTTATGCAAACAGGACAGAAAGAAGAATAAATGCCAATCTGTGATATATAATCCCACTATGTGGGCACCACGATGTAGATCTTACTGTGAACTGATCTCAGTGCAACTGTCTTCAAACCACATTTTCAGAGAGGGATGCAAATATTCCTAGGGATACCTGGAATGAACCAGCAGAGACCAACAGGATTTGTCAGTCTGATCTCTGCCTCAGGTGATGGCAGCTCATAGGTAGAGCTGGAACATGAGCGTAAGAAAGGCTGGCAGGCAGGCAGTAGCACCCAGTTTGGAAAAACAGGGAAAAGGCAGCAATCCAGGGACTGAAGGTGAGTAGGGTTATTTAGTTTGGGTGCAGCATAAAGGTATAGGGCCAGTTTGCTGTTGGCTAATTAATCCTCCTGGAGCACCAGCACATTTAATGCAAGCACTTCTTGCTTGCACTCTTCAGAAGTGAATCCCATGTTTTCAGATGTCCTGCACTGCACTCCTTAGAGTTTCTTCAGTTAGCTGCATTTTCTGGGTACCCTCCTTCCCCATCCCTCCTTGACCAGATGAAGACAACCAGAGAAAGTGAAAATGTTTTGCCTGGGGTTTGTTGCTGTTGCTGCTGTTAGGTAAGGCCACTGTATTTCTAGGTTCTCTGGTTAATATTGTCTTTTCATTCTCATGAAAACTTCATCCAGATTTCCAGCTTCAGGAGTGCCATAGCTCTATCCACATGTAAGGATCAGCTATACACCACATGTACCACTACTCTTCTGGAAAACATCACATTCATAGCATATGTAACAGTGACATGATGTACCTCCTGGCAAAGTGTGGGAGAAACTCACCATATATGCACACAGCCATGCACAGTAATGCATGTCCATGACCTATGAGGATTACAGCATTACACAGTATAGATACACATATCTTATCCAGGAAAAAAAACCAACCAAACAAACCAAAATCGGTTATTCCTGTAGTGTGAGCATACAGTAATTCCAGGATTTGTGGGACAGACCCACTGTTAATGAAATGCATCACTGCATCTCACAGATGTAGTATATCCAATACTTCTGCAGTAAGTATAGGACCTACTACTCCTATACTACACCCAACAACACATGTATTCTCCTGTAGGAAATCCTAATAAACACATACTCCTAAATAGACTGATTCCAGGATGATATACAGAACTGAATGATGTGGCCAATCACATTTTAAGCAGACTTCCTATAATTTCCATAAAGCGAGCAAGTATACAAGTACTCAACGAAAGAGCAAGACGACAGCTTCTCATGTGTTCAGAGCTGACCTCGGCGAGGTACAGAGCAGAGCCAATTTTCTCAAGTGCCACTCAACTTCAAAAAGCTTGAGAACCACTGATTTAGAAGATCATACATATTTATTTCAATCCTGCGTTCTACTTCTGTGCAGATTCATTTTGAATCACAGTTTTGTGAGTATAGTTTAATCAAGTAGCACCATGGATCACAAGGAAAAAGAATTCATGTTAGAAGTAACAACAGCAGGTAATGAGAGTTGAAGGTAACCAATACCTTTGAGAGTAAGATTTTAAGAGGGCATGAACACCTGAGGGCAACATTGTGTCCTTATAACAGATACATACAGCAGAGGTTATGAGGGAAGAAGGTGCAATGAGGAATCCACAGTTCAACTCACTCCTACCCCATGGCCCTCTGGAGAACACAGAAATAGCGCTGTCATCCTGGGCCACGGAGCCCCAGCTGCTGCAGAGGCAGTGTCTGACCTCAGAAGGGAGCTGAAAGAATGAATATGCTCGAGTTTTTAAGGTGCTTAATTACTACAACATTAAGATCTAAGTATGGAGATCCTCATTCCCTTCCATCGTGAGCAGAGATATACATTGTGTAGGTCTTTTTTTTCACTACATGGAAACAAAAGTCAGAAGAA